ATTACTATTACTACTACTACTGCTGCTGCTACTACTACTACTACTACTACTACTACAACTACTACTACTACTACTACTACTACTACTACTACTACTACCACTCTCAACTGTATTTCTGCTGTAGTTGCGCTTCCGAGTGGAGGTTCAGCTTCGGGTGGGAAGTGTGACGATAGGGGGTCGACGCGGCAGCCTTCCCACTGGCGAAAGAATCGTGTTGTTGGCCTGATGGCTGAAACGTCTCTCCCTTTCAAAGTTTTCGGGCACTGCCGGGCCTCTCAGAGAAAGGCCCCACCTCTAGATTCCGACGCGAGCCGAGCTCAACATCCGAAGTCCTTCTCCCAATCTCCATCATGGCTTGATGGTTGTATTGGCTTTGGAGATCAATCCTTGAGGCTCTCCATGAAGGCTGAGGTACTGGAGTTTGGGGCGTGAAAATCCCTTTGCAGGTCTCTGAGCTGCCAGCGGCACAATTCAGGGAGCTCCGCAGTGACTCAAGCTGATTGCTGGTGTGAGGGTACACAGAGCAGGAAATGGATGTGCTTGAGATTTCGACGGTGGTGGGGCATGTCGGACATGATGTAAAGGAGAGGGAAGGAAGCAATTCCCCAAGATGCAGGACCCATGCCGGACATTCAACGGCCACCCTTGAGACTCTTAAGGCTATCTGGAGCTGGAGTTCGCGAAGCAGCACGACCTCCTCAACGTCGCTCACGTTGCAGAAGAGGGTCATGGGCATTGAAGGTTGCGAGGGCGGTCTTTGAATGCGTGGGCGGTGCGTACTTGAACACCCGGGCACTTCGCTTCCGAAGTACCTGTGCCGTGGGCCCTAGGTCTTGGTTCACCGGGGCTCATTGCCGGTGCAGCTGGCCAGCGAGGCTCAGAAGGGTCCAGACTTCAAAGCCTCCCAGCACGGAAGGCCCTCGAGAGAAAGGCCTTTCATTGCGCCTGGTTCTGTCTTTGGGTTGAGACCCATTGCAGAAACAGGAGACGATAAGTCTGCTGACAGCTCCGGAGGAGGTCGAGGACACGAGTTCAGGGCCATTACAGTTTGGCGAGGAGGGTTCAGCTTGCGTCTGCAGACTTTGGAGTTGCTACTTGCGGGGCCTCTGGGGCATTCTCAAGAGACCCAGCATTCCGCTGCATGGTAGGCCTGGTAGGATCTGGTAGGCAGAGGAAAAGGACGGCAAAAAAGAGAGCGACCTGTTGATTCTGCTGTATCGCTCACTACATGTCGTTATTTCTTGTCAACCATTGCTCCACACAGCACAAGAGCTAGGATAGAATCTTCAGCGGGTGGTAAGTCGACGTTTGTTGATACCTGGTTGGCAATGACCATGCCTCTCTATCCAAGCCCCTCATTAGACTCTCGACTATTCGTGGGAGACCGCTGCATCGTTTCTTTTGTTTGTGTTTGCTTGCCTTTACATCTTGTGCGATTCACAGCGTTTGCCATCAAACTCCATTGTCCCACGGCGCTGCATGGCTGCTTGTCGCTATTTTCCATGCCTTTCGTCCCGAATACCCGCTGTTTGCAACCGCAGATATCTTCGAGCCCAAGCATGTCTGCGCTTCCAGGAGCCCGCTGCTGAGCTCGCTGAGCACGATGGCGAGAGAGTCAGCGTAGGTGCACGAGGGCGGAGATAGGGGCAAACAAATCACCAGAAACCCGGCATTCCGAGGGTTTGAGAGTCGTTAGGCCGTTGCCGTTGGCGTGAAGATGCGAGCACCGAGACTTTGGGCATCGCTGTTGTAAGCCTGAGCTGGTGAACCTCCCTGCCCAGTCAGTCGTTTCTCAATTGGAAAGGCTGCCAGGTCCTACTCCACAGAAGGTTTTGGTCAATTTCGGTTCCTGGGATTCCTGCATGCCAAGAATCTCTGGGAAGGAAGTTTGGCGCAGCTCCAACTCGACGCCACGCCAAGTCGGGCCAGAAAGGCTCGGACTTAGTTGGCAAGGGAGTCTTGAAGTCCGAGAGGTCGAAAGGTTGTTTGGTGGGGCACGGTTGATTTGCACATGTCACAGAGGCCCAAGTCTTGCTTTGCTAAGTTCGCCTTGACAGGAGACCATTTTCTGGCAGACCTCCGAGAATAAGATGGCTCAGGCACAGCAGCAGGCGTCGCAGCTGATGCTTGGCTAAACTGAGGCCTCTTAGGGTCTACCCGTCTACCCTTCCTCAACGGAATCCCGAGTCACCATCCAGCAACTTCGCGCTTCGCTTCCAGGTTTGGGCTGTCAGGCGAGCCTTGGAGGTGTCTTGGGTGGTCTCTGATACTATAGGAGTAGGCGCAGCTGGGAATACTTTGTAATGTTGTCAAGGCTTGCCACGCTCGGCCTTGCTTCTTGCTGCGAGTAGCCAGGCTTCTGATGTCACTGGGGGCCTTCCGGTCTCAGCTTCCCGCCCCTGAAGCCTAAACTCTGAGAGTAACCATCATAAATTCGTTTCTGCTGCCAAGCCCAGGACGCGCGCGCGTCGCGCGCGCTCCAGCGAGGCCCGTCGTCGCCGCAAACCCGAGATGCAGAAGCTGTTCACAACAGTCTGAAACACAGAGAGATAAGAACAAGACAGATAGACAAACGGATAGAGGAAAGCAGCTGTTCTACAGAGAAGCCGATTACAGGTATATACAGCACTTTCTGCACATGGAGTAGTTAGGTTCGGGACCTCGTGGTATGTGTCAGAGAGTGGAACAGATAGAGCGTAGATCTTGGTGGGTTGGCATATATACACCCAGTCATGTATGTCTGTGCACATATACATCACACCGACATGCATTCATTCATGGAGAAGACAAATACTCTCAAACTAGCCAGATTGAAGAAGCAGCGGTGCAACTGCATCGAACTTTGGGGCCTATGGTTTGGGGGTTGGCTGCTTTAGGTTACCTCTCCCGGAACCTTTGCATTGACTTTGCAGCCCCCATTGCGAAATTGCGGCCATATGCCCAACCCTTAAACCCAGAACCCTGAAA